CTAATTTGCACTTCTATCTTCTCTGTAATTTGTATTATGTTTTTATTACTGAAAAAATGTGATGTGGCGCCAGAATCAATAACTGCTTTGACTCGAGTTTGAAATTTATTACTTACCCGGTTACTTTGATCATTACTACGGCAGAATTTTTCAATATGACCCTTCTTGTTGCATTTTCTACAAATTTTTATAGAAAAACAGTTTCTAGTCGTGTGACCTACCTTATGGCAAACAGTACAACTTTCTTTACATGCCCTAGCAATGTGTCCTATTCTTCCACAGTTGTAGCATTTTATTTCATCGGATTTAAATGCTTCATTACACCATCTTGATGTGCTAGGTATGTTTAAACTGTTTATCTGTTTTTGTATTTTATTAACCAGGTTAAAAAATGTTTTATCTGTTATTGGAGTTATATCCCAAATTGTTTAAAATAATTTAGGCTTTCTGGTAATATATTTAAAATTTTATTTATTAACATTTCTTCCGAAATACTTTTTGTTTTTAATAAATTAATTTCTGAATACAGATTTTCCAAATTGCTAATATCTTCAATAATATTCCCGGTAGAAATGTAGCTATAGAATTTAATAATTTTTTCATGATTGTCTTCTTTTCGGCCATATTGAAAGATCAAATCTATTTTTCAAAAATTTCTTTAGTTGAAGTACAGTTTATGACGTAATGTAGGAATTTTTCATCAATGTTTGTTAAAACTAGAAATCTTGCTTTCGCATCATTATAGTCCTTTACACCCTCTACAAGTCCCTTCGATTCCAAAAATAATTTCGTAATATTTCTCCAATTTTTGTAATTACTCTGATCTTTCAATTTGTTAATATTCTCCATGATCAATAAAACCAAACTTTTTCTAATAAATTTAAATAGTACCGACTTTGTTTTTGATAAACATCCGTTGCTATGCTTATCCGGACTCTGGCATATTAGTGACCGGTCTACGAGAAATTATACGGCGTTTCGTGAACAAAAGATATCCTTTGGCAGGTTTGATCTGTAGGTCCAAAGAATTGATTTAAGAAGTGGAGCCACCTGGATTTCCCTTGCAGGTGAGGGGGGAGGGGGGGGAAGTTTGCACCCGCCGCGCTTCGAATAAAAAATTATAACTGCTCCAGTTATTCATACAGTGGCGTGTTTGGTATCGTTTTCGCATAAGAAGAGTACGGGGAATCCGTTTTTAAGGTTAGTTAGAGATACTTTTGTACAAAAAGTCAATAATTTTCGAAAAAAAGTAAATTTTAAAGTTAGTTTTTTTTTCTTTTAAATATATTTACCTTAATAAATAGATCGATTTTGTGATAAAAAAAATAGTATTATCAAGCTCATACTATCTAGTTTTTAGAAATATATACATTACGTATACTTCTCTAACAGTATGTACCCAAAAAAAATACCGCGCGAATCTAGAAAACTTAAGTTGTAAATCATTTTACTGTTTATCTTTTTTTAACTGCTCCAGTTATGAATACAATGGTATGTTTGGTATCGTTTTCGCTTAAGAAGAGTACAAGAAATCTATTTTTAAGGTTATTTTTAAACATTTTTATACAAAATGTTTATAGTTTTGATAAAAAAGTTAATTTAAAAGTTATGTTTTACATATTTTTGGTTATTTTTCGCAAATTAACTATTATCTTCTACGTTGGAATGTATAGTTTGTTAAAGACGGAGTAAATAAAATAATGATAAAAAATAAGCAAATATATTTTATATTTATAAAATAAAAAATTGTTAAAATCAAACACTTTCTCAAGTCTTCGAATTCCTCAGGAGGGCCTCGCGGACTACAAAACTGAAACAAAAAAGACAATATTATATGTAATAATGTATAATCTCTGTTTAGTTTTAATAAACTATAAATATAATAAACTCTAATGTTATCTAACAATTTAAATATACCTACCTACCTGGAATTAGCGGAGTATCTGTTACACTCTTATTCTTCGATGAGCGCCTCGAGGTCTATTGCACTGTAACAAAATAGAAATAATATTATACAATGTAAATAATAATATGAAATTCAGCAGGCAAAGTTATTTGACAACATAAATATACCTGGTATTATCGCAGTTTCCGTAGCAGCTCTTACACAGCAGTGTGCATGGCATACCCTCTCGTCTGCAAGAACATCGGCCTCTGCAGCTGTTCTTGCATCCACACTTCACCAGCTCTCGTGCCGCCTCCCAGATACTGGGCTGAGTTGTCCATAATGGCTGCCATTCTCCTTCGGTTTGAGTCCATCCCCAGTCAGCTGGGGAGGGGATAACCCCTGAGGGATCAAGAGCTTGTCCCCAGATGAAGCCTGCTTGATAGGCTGCCCTCAAAGTGTGCATCCTTAGAGCATCCCTCGTAGGGGGGATATTTTGCAATGACTTGTTTTTGGATAATAAAATCTTGCGGGCTACGTTAACTGAACGAATTTCAGTCACTTCTTCCAATGTATTTGAAAGTGCTCTAAAAGCTGATGTGGCCTCGTGGCAGCAACATCTCGAGGCCACATCAGCTTTTAGAGCACTTTCAAATCCATTGGAAGAAGTGACAGATGATTTGATGACAAAAATAGAAAAATACGTCATCATGTTATACTGTGGTGATACTGAAATTCGTTTAGTTTACGAAGCCCGCAAGATTTTATTCTCCAAAAACAAGTCATTGCAAAATATCCCCCCTACGAGGGATGCTCTAAGGATGCACACTGAGGGCAGCCTATCAAGCAGGCTTCATCTGGGGACAAGCTCTTGATCCCTCAGGGGTTATCCCCTCCCTAGCTGACTGGGGATGGACTCAAACCGAATGAGAATGGCAGCCATTATGGACAACTCATCCCAGTATCTGGGAGGCGGCACGAAAGCTGGTGAAGTGTGGATGCAAGAACAGCTGCAGAGGCCGATGTTCTTGCAGACGAGAGGGTATGCCATGCACACTGCTGTGTAAGAGCTGCTATGCGATAATACCAGGTATATTTATGTTGTCAAATAACTTTGCCTGCTGAATTTCGTATTGTTATTTACATTGTATAATATTATTTCTATTTTGTTACAGTGCAATAGACCTCGAGGCGCTCATCGAAGAATAAGAGTGTAACAGATACTCCGCTAATTCCAGGTAGGTAATATTAGAGTTTATTATATTTATAGTTTATTAAAACTAAACAGAGATTATACATTATTACATATAATATTATCTTTTTTGTTTCAGTTTTGTAGTCCGCGAGGCCCTCCGGAGGAATTCGAAGATTTGAGAAAGTGTTTGATTTTAACAATTTTTTATTTTATAAATATAAAATATATTTGCTTATTTTTTATCATTATTTTATTTACTCCGTCTTTAACAAACTATACATTCCAACGTAGAAGATAATAGTTAATTTGCGAAAAATAACCTAAAATGTGTAAAACATAACTTTTAAATTAACTTTTTTATCAAAACTATAAACATTTTGTATAAAAATGTTTAAAAATAACCTTAAAAATAGATTTCTTGTACTCTTCTTAAGCGAAAACGATACCAAACATACCATTGTATTCATAACTGGAGCAGTTAAAAAAAGATAAACAGTAAAATGATTTACAACTTAAGTTTTCTAGATTCGCGCGGTATTTTTTTTTTTGGTACATACTGTTAGAGAAGTATACGTAATGTATATATTTCTAAAAACTAGATAGTATGAGCTTGATAATACTATTTTTTTTATCACAAAATCGATCTATTTATTAAGGTAAATATATTTAAAAGAAAAAAAAACTAACTTTAAAATTTACTTTTTTTCGAAAATTATTGACTTTTTGTACAAAAGTATCTCTAACTAACCTTAAAAACGGATTCCACGTACTCTTCTTATGCGAAAACGATACCAAACACGCCACTGTATGCATAACTGGAGCAGTTATAATTTTTTATTCGAAGCGCGGCGGGTGCAAACTTCCCCCCCCTCCCCCCCTCACCTGCAAGGGAAATCCAGGTGGCTCCACTTCTTAAATCAATCCTTTGGACCTACAGATCAAACCTGCCAAAGGATATCTTTTGTTCACGAAACGCCGTATTTTGCGTTTTTATGTCGTGTAGGATTGCCACTATATCCATTCTTTTAGCACAATAAACACCGCATTTTGTATTTTATTTTATCTTCATCCCTGGCCTCTCTTTAAGGGCCCATAACCTGATACCCGATGGTAAAACGGGTATAGAGAAAGACCAGGGAGCTTTTAGATCACATGAGTTTATTTACCAACAAAATTATATATATGTACTATATAAAAACATAAACAGCACCGACAACAGCTTTACGAAGAGAGACATTAATATATATAAACAATAGACGCGCATGTGCAGAACAGATTGTCAATATTTAAATTAAAATTAAAAAGATCTTAAAGCAAGAAGGAGGTCTCCCTCAACAAATATAACCCTAAAATGTTCTAATTAGTTATTGTAGATCTTATAAATATTTACAAAAAAGTCCGCGACACATTATACCTATCTAAGTCGAGTGAGGCACAACAACAATTTTTTTATTTAAAAATCTTGAATTATTTTTGGACTAAGTACATTTAAACGCGTTTATTTTACTGATGCTACTAATTCTTATTCAAATAAATTTCACCACTAAGTACAGTTTATGTAGATAATATTTGGTCTTTGAATGTTTAAAATTAGACGTTTGGTTTTGAAGTTATGGCGAATTTAAAATATTACGATTTCTGCTACACGGCCGTTGCGAAGTGGACGTCACCAAGGCGGAAATGCGCGTGCGGGAGGGGAGTTTAAATCTATGAGTAAGGTACCAGCTGACCACGCGGGCGAAGCCGCTGGCGGAAAGCTTGTAAGCAATAACCTTATGTGTTTAGGTTATTATCGCTTGCTCGGTACTAGTCTCGGCGTACTATTCTATATTAATAAGGTATCGTGAACTAGTGATCGTAGACACGGGGCCGAGAAGCTTCAAATAACTAAACTCATAGAGAGCTATTTGTAATTGGGCTCTTATTGATGTCAACAATACTACCCAAGTACTGTCAAAAAAACACAATTATAATTATTTTACAAATTTTTACTTTGAGTATCGATTTGTGCTAAAAAAATTGAAGTAATAATTATGTTCTTTTTTTCAAACTTTAAGTGATATAGTACTTATGTTATAAACGTTTTCATTATTTAAGAAACTGCTTCGTCCGCGTGGTTTTGAAGATACTTATGCATTATTATAAAATTCTCTCTTAATGAACGCCTCCCTCTTAAAGAAAACCCATATGCAAGATTTCATTTCATGATGTGTGGGTCAAATGTAGGAAAAAAAATGGTTCCAGCTTTTTCTTCCATTTGGCGGACTGGGAATAACCCTTATTATTAACAACTACTATAAAATAAAAATCATATAAAATCAAATTAATAACCGTTTACGAGTGTGATGTTACAATGATAAGCCAGTTCCAAAGACTTCTTTAAATTATACATAGATATGCCTTTGTCTCTGATACAATAAAAATAAAACACAAAATTAATTATTAATATTTATAATATTGAAATATTTACATCTTGTGAGCATTTTGGCCCACTTATCTTGTCACAAATAGTACCTATTTAGTAAGATTATTTTTCTGTAACAGAAAGTAATCTGTTAGAAAAAAATTCAACCTTTGTAGATTAAGAAATTTCACAATTCTATTACTAAATAAATTGAATATCCAACAGGGATCCACATTAAACAATCTAACACATTCAAATCGCAGGAGTGCACTCCACAAGAGCTCTGTTGGTGTGGACATTACCTCTAGCAATAAAAGGTGCAAAGATATTTGTAATTCACTTCATGCTACAGGATCCACTTCCTGGTTAGCTGATCCAAGATGGATCATATTGATGTGGATGTAGCTTATGGTTATCATAAGCATTCTCTTGGAAAAATAATTAGTTTATAAGACTGACAAATTCAATTATTTTGAATGTATGATATATGTACCTAATAAATGAAACCTTTACACATCATCTACAGTTGGTAACCAAAATGCCATATTAGTACAAGCAGATGCTAACATCATGAATTTTGGGTTAAACTGCACACATTGTATTGGAGCAGGATGATCACCATTTAAAACACAAACTTTATAACCAGTATCAGCATTCCAAACATGAACTCTGCCATCGGTAGATCCACTAAATATGTATTGTGAGTCTGGACTGAAAGAAGCTTCGATAGGTATCCCTTTATTATTTAAATGTCCAGTAAAGGTCTGCAATGGAGTTCCATGATAGGCATCTACAAGCCGTATTATTGATCCATTTGTACTTATTAGCATAGTCTTACCATCACGTGAAAACTTTAATCCAGTCCAGTCACATTCTTTTTCTTGATTTAATTTAAATGTCACAAATGGACCCTTGTCAAATGATCTTAAGTCATATAACTTTATACTCTCAGAATTTACACCAGCAGCAAATATTAATCCTTCAGGATCATAAGCAGCAACCGGTCGTCCTGAGAGATGCATTAGGCCTTGACAATTTGGTGAACGAAGATCCCACAAGCGAAGTGTTTTGTCCAAAGATCCTGATAAAAAGGTGTCGCCTATGGGTGACAGACATAGTGTTACCACTTTCTTTGTGTGCCCAGGAAAGTATCTAATGTATTTGTTATCATGAAGCGACAAATATCTTATTGTATCGTCAACTTTGGTAGAACTATGTATTGCAGTGTTTTTAGCGTGAGTAAAATGAATCAAATCCACACCATACTTTTTGCTGTTTACTGTTATCATTTGTGTGCCTTTCTCACAATCATAAATTACAATTTGATCATCTTCACTGCAAGATATTAATGTTTCACCATTAGGCGAGAAGTCTATACTGTTTATTTTGTCTGTATTTTCTCGAAACACCTTCGCAACCTTAAAACTACGAACAACTTGATCAACTAGTTTCATCATTTATGAGGCTTTCCTGTTTTATTATTGAATTTTATGGGATGTAACACAGGGTCTTTGGTCACTGTTTCGTCTATACTTTAATATGAAAGCCCAAAGTTTCAATATGTAATGTTGTTATTATTTTATTACAAGCCCCGAGCAATACCAAGCCAAAGCAAGCATTTCAGATAGAGATGTTCGAGATGCTGTTGAGTCAGACTCGACACGAATACCTAGCGAGTACTCAGGTACTCGAGTACATAAAATACTGATTTCGGAACATCAGTACTCGAATACAGCAGTATTCAAATCTTGTTTGTTTATTAGCTAACCTTATACATTCACGCATATAATTGATTTGAATTTAATTATTTGATTTTATTTATACCCATGACACTGATATACACGTGTACAGAGGTAATTTTGGGAGATTTGGTACCATTTGTATATGAATAAGTGTGCAGGCGGTACATAGCAAGTCTTGTGGATACTAAGTTAGTGTAGAAGTTGCTAGATATCATAGTTTCACGGTCATAGTTCTATGAACTCCCGCAAAACGACGCTTGATTCTATAAAATATAAAATATTTTGACAGATATTCTCTTGTAATGGAACATAGCAATGCAAGGAGAAACATAATTTTATAGACCTCATATTATCTTTTCATTTAATACGATTATTAACGAAAACAGGTCTTTTGTAACTTAAATTACTTTAGAGTTTTATATATGTTTAGGTGGAAGTGGATTTTTAGTTTCTGTAATATAATAGAGGTGGCGGGCGAGGTAATTGCGGCGTCGCTATTGGCTAGACAAAGACTCGTATTGCTAAGTGATGGGAGTCATAATGTGTTAAAGGCATGTCGATAATTGATTGATATTATGTGTTAGTATTTGAAGTCCTTAAAACACTTTTTTTTAAATTTATTCTTATTTAATACTTGTGTGTTATAATTTAAGGCTTGTGTTCACTAATAATAAATCAATAGTATTTTAGTTTTATTGTTATTTTTAGATGTCACGAAAGTTAATTATTTATAATATGTATTTATTAAAGATTAATTATATTTTTAAGGAATTAAAACTAAAAAATAAACATCTTCTCGTGTGACAATGAACACCAATCAGAGTTTTTTTTTTGACGAATTAGTAGAACTATAAAATGTTTGATAGACAAAGCATCCAACGGCAAGGCTTCAGTGAGCGCGTTCACTCAATCACTAACTTTCAATCAGTTGGTGAGAATAACTTTTAAAAATCGATATTGTACGAAGAAATACATTGAAATAAGTTGTACTTAAAAATGGGAGAACGTGAATTTATAATCCCGATAGAAAAAATCAAAATTACCAAAAATCACCATTTTTGCATTTCTCGTAGCACCGGTTCACACCTTCTAATTAAAAGCTATTATAAAATGTTCAGTGAATTTTATCATAGCTTTAAACATTACATACATAAAAATGAAAGTGTTGCGCCACTGTGCTCATATCACAGACTTAGTAAGTATGCTCATATAAAAATATTAAGTTAAAATTTTATACTAATATTTTCTCTAACAGTAATTCACTTGAAAAGCTGTAGCGTGTAAAAATGTATTTCCTCGTTTCCGATTTCATAAGCGCTACAAGCTCTTCAAGATGTTAGAGAAAATATTTGCATAAAATTATTATTTACATTTCAGTTACTTAATTTTTTATTATATTTTTATTTTTAGGTTTTATCAATATATATGGTGTTCTTATAAAAACGAATCTAAAGAACCCAAACACAATGCAGTTGCGTTATTTCATTGCTAAGTTACTATGACCACCTTCCCTGGGGCCATCATCACCAGACCTTGGTCTGGAAAGCATCCAGTACCAAATTTCTCGCATTGACGGATCTAACGAGCCTAAATATAGTTGTGTTATTTCGTCACTAAGTTCTTATGAACTTCTGACTTCATCATCATATCAGCTTACTGACACCATAATATTGCATTGTCATCTGATTTACAAGTTTATGCAAAATTTTAAATCTATAGGACTTAGGGAATTGGGTCAAATTTGAGTTTTGGGCTTTTAAATAACAAACAAGCTTTAAAAATAGAACCAAAATTATTAATGAAAACTTAAAATATGTACAAGAAAGATTAGTACTATTTCGTATTTCAGTTTTTTTTTAGTTAATTAAAAGGAACGGAAATTACTATGTTTGGTCCATTCGTTTCCTGCAAAAATCAACTTTTGCTAGAGTCGCCATCTAGTGTAGGAGGTGCTTTTTAGTGTTTTCTTTTTTTTACTCTCTCATTATCCAAACATCGCTAGTGACATCTAGTATGATTTCAAGAACTAATATATTTTTTTAATACTTCCTCATTTTTATGGCACAATATTTATTTTTCGATTAAAATGCAAATCAATTAAAAAGTATAATTATAAATGAAATGTGACCCCTCGATCTTCAGCCGACTTACTTATGTGCTTATCATAAATTCTGTAACTGGCTGTTTACACACATTAAAAAAACATTAATTTGAATTTTAGCTTCAACGATAACAAAATAGACTTCACACGCAGTTATTACATATTTTTTGTTGAGAAATTTTTGTTTTAAAAATTGGGTGGGGCACTAAAGAAAATATAAGATTGCAGTAATTGCACTGCACTGTATGTACAGAGCAGGTAAGGAGCTAGTCAACATTTAAGGTACATTGAAAAAGCAAGGGACTGGCCAAATGTTGGTGTGTCGTACCATCTGACTATGCCTGTTGATGGCCTTGAGAGATCCGGCCGACCGCTGTCTATTCGAACAAACCCGGCCGTTAATAAATTAAACAATAATCAAATAGATTACATTTTGAACAACAATCCAAGACTTTAGCAATATAGAAATAATAAACAAAATGTCTTTCCCCAGCGACCACAGACTCATTAGAGGAACAATAACACTAGACAAACAAAGAAATCAAGAAGAACATTCGATTCTATTCCAGTCACCAACCCATCAAGCAAGGAATCGCAAGAAATTAACCTAAGCACGAAACTAGAGTACGTAGTATGGGATAAAAACGACGATATAGAGTCCTATTATACCAAGATAGAATTTGCTATACAAGAAAGTCTAAAGAAATCAACATCTATAAAAACAAAGAAAGAAATAATATCTAAAGAAACTAAAAAAATTATGAAGCGGAAGACTCGACAATACAAACCCTCAAAAGACAGGGAAGATAAAAAGGAACTCTCAGTACTTTACAAAACCACAAACAAATTACTAAAAAGAGATTACGAAAAACATAGAATGGGAATTATTGTAAAGCATCTAATAAATACGGGAAGTCAAAAGAGAGCATATAAACAGTTAAAAACAGATAAAGCATGGATCCCACGCTCAATTCCAAAGCCATTTACAAGAAAAGATTTGGTTAAAATTGCTTCTGAATTCTATGAGAAATTATATGAAGATAAACAAATAAAAAGTAACTGCTACAAAAAAACTTTAGAATCGACAAGCATGAACACAGCAACCCAACTCTTTGATGGTGACGAAATTATGGAAAAAATCCAGAAACTGAAAAAGGAAAAGAGCCCAGGCGAAAACAACATCCCAAATGAAGCTTTAATAATGGTAAAGTGCACATTAATAGAGCCAATCACTACTATTTTCAATTAAATACTTGGAAAACAGAAAGTACCTTCTACGTGGACAAAGTCACGAATAATCCTTATTTACAAAAAGGAAGACCCAGCAGATATCAATAACTACCGACCAATCAGCTTACAACCAACAATGTATAAATTATTTGCAATTTGTCTGGAAAAAAGGATAGAGTTAACCCTAGAAAAAAGACAACCAGTGGAACAGGCAAGTTTTCGCCGCGGATATTCAACAGTCGATCAAATACACACAGTAGAGCAAATAATAGAGAAATATGAAGAATACAAGAAAGGTCTTTACCTCGACTTTGTTGACGCTACGCTAAATGGTTTGACTTTATCTCACATGAGAGCGTATGGAAAACACTAGAGCACCAAAACCTCCCATCACATACATCAATATAATTCTAGACATTTACAGAAAAATCACAAATCGCGTTAAACTGGATAGCCTGGGCCCTGAATTTAAAATAAGTAAAGGCGTGAAACAAGGAGAAACACTGTTACCTAAGATTTTTATAGCTGTACTACATCATATAATGGAAAACCTAGACTGAGATAAAAAGGAATATCCATTGACGGGAAGTACCTGAGCAACCTAAGATTTGCTGACGACATAGTCCTGTTTGCTAAGTCATCAAAGCAGCTAGAAGTATGTACCAATGCAAGAAATTCTCCATCCTACTAGATCAAAAGCCTGTTGAGTACGTTTGTTTTCCTAGATAATTACGAGCTAAAATTATCTAGGAAAACAAACATCTTTCAAAAGTTCAAGACATATAGATGAAATTGATTGACGAATAAATATGACTTGAAAAAATACTGGAGCTTCAAAGAAATAATGAAATCCAAATTTTCAATTTCCCTTAAGAAAAAAGTTATGAATTCCAGTCTACTACTCTGCCTATCGTATGGAGCCCAAACCTGGATATTCAATCATAAAACAATGTCAAAAATTCGTTCGTGTCAGCGGGCTATGGAGGGAAGCATGTTTAATACATATTCTTAATCTGTGGATCACAGATAAACAAAATAGTAATAAGATAAGACAAAAAATTCAAGTAATAGATGCATTACAACATACGCGACGTCTGAAGTGGAGATGAGCCGGACATGACCCGAAAGGGGCCATGACAATGATTAAAATATTGTTTTCTTTTTTTTGCATTCTTTCATTTTTTTGTGTCATGGAAATAAAGAGGCTTATTATTATTATTATTAAACAAAATACAAGCTCTTGATTTAACTCCATTGGTATGATAAACTAACTTGCCAGAAGAACCGAGTCCGGATACCATGTCGTTTTTAGCAAGCCATGGCTCCTGGATTAGAGTTATGTGGAAGTTCTCGGTGAAGATTTTTTGCGGATGACAACCCTTTAAAGCTAAGGCGTGGCCTGAATTCCAGCGTGCGCAAGACTCCAACTGAGGCTTCACAGATGGAGAGGGCGGCTGTAATGCCATCCTTTTCATCCTTAGTATTCCGGATCTTCCACATGCCGGTCTCTAGATCGTTTTATTTGTCCAGAAACATCAGAGCGTCTT